AAAGATTTTTTTTTAAAAGACAGGATTCCATGTTTCCCAGGCTGGCTTTAAGATTTTTTTTTTTATTTTATTTTATGTATGTGCGTGTATTGCCTGCATGTAGGTAAGTGCATCTGTGTCGTGCAATGCCCACAGAGAGAAGAGGCTGTTGGATCCCTGGAACTGGATTAGCTGCCATGTGGGTGCTGGGATTCGAACCTGGGTCTTCTGCAAGAAAAACCAGCTTTGTTTTTAAATATAATTTTTTTATTATTTTTGAGTGTGTTGCCTGCATGTATGTGAGTGCACCCACATCATGCAATACCATGAACATCAGAAGAGGGCGTTGGATTTCCCCTGGAACTGGAGTTAAGGACGGTTCATAGCTGCCATGTGGTACTGGAAATCAAACCCGGGTCCTCTGCAAAGGCAGTTAGTGCTCTTAACCGACCGAGCCATCTCTCCAGCCCCAACACCATAGTTTTAAGAGGAAAAAAGATGTTTCATTCATTAATCAAGAAAAAAATAGGCACAAGACTCAGATCAGGTAATATGTTAAATAATTCAGTGGAGTTTTCTTGATTACCTAACATGTAAGTCATTTTCTCCTCTAGAATTCTTGCTTTTCCAGTTTTCCATTAGTTAAGTCATGTATAATAGGTGGTTCTTGGTAACAGAATCCAGGTGGTCTGGGAATACATCAGATGGGCTATGTACTCTGGGATTCCTTAACAAGGTTCTGAGGACCAATGTTCCAGCTGGAAATGGAAAGAGGGCCAAGACTAGAATAGGCTGCAATGTCAGACTCGCACTTACTTAAGTACAAATAATGCCTCTTTTGTGTCAGTACTGTGTTAAGAACCCAGGGGTACAAAAGTAAACGAGACAGGTATATACACTGTACCAATGGACAATGAAACAGGCAATTACAGTACAGTGTGAAAATAGAACAAAGTGTTTGGGGTACATGGGCTGCCAGAGAGTGAGTTGATTAGTTAAAGGGGTGATGTGATGGTGGTGCTAGAGGTGGGATGGTGGCAAAATCTGAATTGGAATGAGCTGTAAGAATGGAGAACAGGTAAAAAGAATAGTTAACTCTTGAGGGAATCTGTGATGGTTTAATTTTCATAGTCAACTTGATGAGCTAGAATTAATTTAGGAAACAGCCTCTGGGCATGCCTATTAGAGAATAGGCTAAAGTGGGAAGATCAGTCCACTGTGGGTGGCAGTATTTCCTGTGCTGGGATCCTAGGCTGTATAAAAAGGAGAAAGTGAGCTAAGCACAAGTTTTCACCACCCTGCTTCTTCATGAAGGAAGCAGCTCCCTCAAGTTCCTGTCACTGTGATTTATGCACCATTATGTACTGTACCCTTGGACTGTGAGCCAAAATAAACTGTTCCTTAAGTTCTTTTGTCAGGGTATTTTATCACAGCAACAGGAAAAGTAACAAAGACAATTTTATTTCAAAGAAAGGTAAAGAAATCAAACAATTTTAGTGGGGGGCAGGACTTATAGATAGGTACTGTGCCTGCTTGCCTGTCATACATGAGGCTTCAGGTTTGGTCCACAGCAAAACACACACACACACACACACACACACACACACACACACACATATACACTGAAAGGGAAAAATAAAGCTTATTTGTGTGCTGAAATAATCTAATAAAGGGAAAACAGTTCAACAAAAACAGCACAATAGACAGTCATGTCCTTGACTAGGTCTGCGGTTTGGTGCCTGAAAGGATGATCAGACAGGAAGAGTTCTGCTAGAGGTTCTCAGAGTGGGGTTTCTGAACTCGGAGCATCACATGGGGCTTAACAATTAGACTCCACGCAGTCCAGGAGTATATTCCAGTCATCTGAGCAGTCTGCAAACACATCCATGATTGCTGCAGCCCTATCAGAACAGCCAAGTTAGGGGGTCAGCCTACATGTCCATCAACACATAAATAAGGAAGAACATGGTAAAGAACACACTGGGATTTTATTTAGTCAGAAGAGTAAAATAAGACACAAATGTCACACCTCTCATAGACAGAAAACAAAAAGGGCACTTTCGGGAGGAGGGAGGGGACAGTGAAGAGGAGGTAGGTGAGGAAAGACGGTAATGGGGCATGAATGGTGAAATACATGATATGGATGGGAAAAGATCACAACAAAACCCACCACTTTCTAGTGAATATATGCTAATAAAAAAGAATGCCAAGACATGGGTGCACTTACGTACATGTAGGCAAAACAATACACCATAAAATAAAAATAATATTCAAAAATTAAAAAAATGGTTAAGATGGTAGATCTTACATTATTACACATCTTACAATGAAGGAAGGACTAAGGAAATAGAAAAGTAGTGGTCTGAATACGACTCTGCTAGAAAGCGTGACTCTCTTAGCTGGAGAGAACTGTATGTTCTCAAGACAGCCAAACATATTCCTACCCCCACCCCGACATTCTCAGACACCTACTAAGAATGAAGGAAAATACAGAACTGTCTATATCACTGTGAACAATCAAAAATCCCAGTTGTGACTCGCCATATTCTCCATGGATCTCCAAGAACCAGAGTTGAAAGCATTGCAACAGGGTTGAGTTATAATTGCATTTACTCAGGAGCTCAATTTTATATTATAGTGACCATTTCTTTATGCATAAACATGATCTTCAATTGACTGCTTTGCAGTCTAATTATAACGGAAACATAATTTACCTGTAATTTTCAGATTCACATTGTTTTGAACATTTGCCACAAATCACATTATTAAACATTTTTCTCCACACCTGATTCTTTGTATGAATCTCTCATAACTATTTAAAGAGAAACTTCTAGGAGCAGCAAAGTTCATAAGTTAAAAACTTTACCAAGTTGCCCTCCAGAAAGATCATACCAACTACAATCACAGGACAGCCAGAGTCCCATTTCAAGCTCATATTCAGTGGCAGGATAGGGAACTGGATATTTTCCCCATTCATTATTGTTGTAATTCAACAGGGAGATGTAAGATGGATAACATCTTGTGTTTTTGTTCCCCTATAGTGTAAGACGCTCCCCATGTCCACTGGCCGTTTGTTTTCTCCGTGTTCTGGAGTAGTCACGTCTCTTAGGTGGAGTCTCGAACACGTCGTGCACTGTCTGTCCTTCTCCCAACACGTAGTTTTTCTGCAGGCAAAGGCATGAACGCTGCATGTCTGTCTCGTTTTTGTCTTTTAAAGTTAAACGAAATCTTCAAAATGACTAGATGTAGAAAGTTGTCTTGTGGCAGTCATGCTATTTTAATGTCTTGGCAACAAAACAGAAAACTGGGCCATGTTCTGAAAGGAAGAAAGCAGGCAGAGATGACAGGTGTTATAGGTAGCAGTGAGCATGCTAAGTACCTCCGAGCTTGGTTTTTATATTTTACTTATTCATTATTTTTATTAAAAAATTATTCTTTTTATTTGTGTGTATAGGTACTATGCCCACATGTATGCAAGTGCACCTGTGTTGTGCAATGCCCAAGGAGATTAGGAAAGGGAGTTGGATCACCTGGAACTAGAGTTACAAACAGTTGTTAGCTGCCAGGTAGGTGCTGGGAATCAAACCCAGGACCTCTGCAAGAGCAGCCAGTGCTCTTAACTGCTGAGCCACCTCTTCAGCCCTCAGAGCTTAGAAGAAGAAAGGAGGAGGAGGAGAGGAGGAGGAAGGGGGAGGGAAGAGGAGGAAGAGGAAGAAGAGGAGGAGGAGAAGAAGGAAGAAGAGGAAAAAAACATTTAAAAAGCAAAACAAACAAAAAGCCCTCTGGGGATTTTGTGGATTGAAATGACGATTCATGGAACACATACTTTAAAACTCAACAGATAATCCCTATACCCACCAAAATTTAAAAACCACTAACCAGAAGCAGTGAGATGGTTCAAAGGCAAAGGCATTTGCTGCCAAGCCTGATGACCTGAATTCAAGATCTGGAACCCATGTGGTGGATGGAGAGAACCAGTTCTCACAAGTTGTCCTCTGATGTCCACAGGTACACCAGGACGTGTACACCCCCACACACACATAAATAAATACATAACCCCACTAACCAGATGTGGGACTTAAGAAGCAGCATTTAGTTCCTGGTTCCTCCCTTCGCTGTCAAACAAAGCTAGTACTGCTCATCTCCCTCCAAGAACTGGTCTGAGAATCACATATGTCCCTCCACTTTACAGGCTACTATACAGACCACCACCAGCTTTGATTACCACTTATACGACCCTTATTCTTATCTCACTGTAAGAAAGAAGTCACTGAAATTTTAATATGTCCAACTCTTCAAGAGAATAGGATCTTCATCACAGGACATTATGGTGTCCTTCTAAACCAGAGCTTGACAGAATGGGCAGACTGGTGTTTCTGAAATGAGCTAGTGAGTGAAGGATATATATTTCAGTGCTTAGAAGAGTACAAATATGATCCAGAATAAGAATTATTAGTAAAGTGCTCCTTGTGGAAGCCACAGCACTCAATTTTATCCATATAGGCAATTCCTCATTTCCTCTCTTTCTCTTTGGAAAGGTGACGAAAGCTATACTAACTCACTTTAAAAGTGCATATATACAAAAACACACAACTTAATGAGCTTCAAAAAAGCACTGATTTTGGTTATCCAAGAATTTCTCTAAGAGATCAACTTCAAATTTGAAACCATAGTGAAAGGGGGTCAGTAGGAAGACATCTGCATCTCAATCACGTCTTGCAAGTCTAATACTGGTTCTACAAAGGCAGAAGTTCATTAAGTCAGATTTAGCAAATCAACATGTGAGCTACTTGGCTAACTTTACTCAAAACCACCATTCAAATGATGGTTTGGTATAAGCTACCATACCTTAATTGGCAGATTATTACTTTGCCCCACTTTAGCATTAGAATAATCAAAAGGGCCTTCTAACACTCAGTTGTGATAAAACACTTCATGGGAGGAAAAGGACTATTATTTATTCATTAAATAATATCTCCTATGTATATTGTTGAAACTAACAGGAGTATTTCCTATTAGGGAAGGTATATTATGAACTTTAACATTCCTGGCTTTGCCAGTCCTAAACTCTGATATTTTGAAGTGACAGTGTGTGTGGGAGCCTGTTTGCACAGCTTGTCGCACAGTTCCCAACTTCATGGTGGCTGTGCTATGCTGTGCTGCAGCATTTATTCCATGTAAATCAGCAAACACTATCAATCACTTACCAACACATAGTGTACTCAGACTAAAACAGTGGCTCATTCTTGAGCTACTAGGTGGTAGTTCAGGTGGGGGCGGGGGGCTTTTACTGACCCATCACATCCTCTCTTAGTGATTGCCACAGGATCCAAGACTCTCTAGGAGACCTCAAGGTACATCATTAGATATAAGGGAAATGCTGAAACTGAGTTGAAGCTTCTTAGCATTGTGGTTGATCAAGAATCACAGAAAGTCCAAATAAAAATTATGCATCCTAAGCTTAGCAGTCAGTTTAAATTATATTCTTAGAATGAATACTAGCATTAGAAGCCTATAAATTGCAACTTTCATCTATTTATTATTATCTTAATTTGATGTGCCACTGACTTTAAAAAACTATTTCTTGGCACCATTTTGCTAATGACGTAAGTATTGGCTTAAAGGCCTACCACTATGCATGATCCATCAGTCTTCTGAAGTGAGACATCAAGACACTCTCGACAGTATGACGAAGCTTGGACACCAGATAATAAAACTCCCACCTCAGGTTCTGATGGTCTTGCAGTATCCTTTTCACAGTGGTTGGCATAGTAGTAAAGGCATTTGAAAACTTGTTGAAAAAATGCTGACTTGTACAAAACACATGAGGCGATGGACCAAAGGTAAAGCGCAAGTAAGAGAAAATACGGTTCAGGGGCACAGCACTGCTTGGAGATGTGAGGACACTTACCTTCAGGTTACAAAGTGTTTCTGACCATTCCATCGACCCTATCTGAGGTATGGTAGTGAGGAGTAGACTTTTGGCTTTATTGGCATTTTCTTTCAGGGTCTTTAAAACTCTGTCCACTGAAACCTATAAAAACAACAGGATTTTACTAACATTTTAAAGTCCACTGCTTTTCACAAAAGGAGTCATAAAAAAAGCAAAAGCAACTTGAGTCCCAACTTGCTATGGTGTGAATGTTTGTATCCCTTTCAGTCAAATCCTCCATGTAAGGAATTAAAAGGGGGGACACTGGGAGGGGACTGGGTCACGTAGGCAGAGTCCTGTGGTCTGAGATGTCACGTGAGGTTCAGTGAGAAGATGACTGCGAGGTGGCCCTCACCAGACACTGAATCAGCCAGGCTTGATCTTGGACCCCTCAACTATGAAAAAGTGAAGCTTTTTTCTCTAGAAAATACTTGTTCTATGGGATTTTCTCTTACAGCAGTCTGAACAGACAAAATAAACACACTGTACAGTCTGCTTACTCCAAATTTAATACCCTGAGCCCAGATACTGCTTTTTATCAAGATGGTTTTAGAACTCGGGAAAGGCCTTAGACCAATGCAACAGTATCTCTGAAAACTGTAAGATATCCCGGATATTATTGAGTATTTCAAAATGCAGAGGATTTCAAATGTTCCCAACACAAATATATGACTAAGGTGGCAGATGCTAATTTACACACCACACACATTGTACACATGTACTGGACATACACATAGTGGCACACACTTACAATTCCAGCAACTGAGAGGTAAAGGCAGGAGGATCATAAGTTGGAGGTCAACCTGAGCTATATAATGAGTTCTGGGAATGCATCAGGAGTTGATGCATTCCTTCTACCAAGAAAAAAAAAAAAAAAAAAAAAAAAAAAAAAAAAAGCTGTTCTCCCTGATTCACAGCAGAATGAATTCCAGCCTAAAGCTGTTGCTGTATTAGCTAACAAAAGGCAAACATCCGAAAGGGATTTTTTTGATGAAAAAAGGAAAAAGAAAACGTCACCGTTTTCACAGCGAGCTCCTCAGTGATCTAATGAACGGCCTGCTAACATCACAGAGTAACCACCAAGTCAAATCCAAGAGCCCCTTCAACAAACAAACCGAGACAGACGACCTCAAAACAAAAATCCCCATTTCTGTACTCTGTGCTTCGGATATAAAACACTATGACAACACCTAAATGTCCTCCTATCTCTACATCCAGCTATCAATACAGAAGACAAGAGAAATCTGCTAAATTACCCTAAGGAGACGTTTTCAGCAACTCAGACAAGAACCTTGATTTCATTTGTTCCTTACCCGCCCCCCCCTTTTTGAGGTAGGGTCTACCTATGTAGCTCAAGCTGGCTTCACACTTCTATCTCTGCCTCCTAGTACTGGTATTACAGATATGTGCCAACCAACCATGCCTCTTGACACTTTGGTTTTTTAAAGAAAACTTGTAAAAAAAAAAAATTACTTCTAGATAAGGGATATAGCTCAATGGTAGAGTACTTGCCTTAAGGCCCTAAGTTCAATCATCAGAACTGTTTTAATAAAAAAATCATTTATGAAATTCAACTAGGAACTAGAATTTTGCTTCGGCATACTAAGAAATTATTGCTAAAATATAATTAAACTAGATACTTCCTGAAATATGTTCCTGGATTAAAATGATGGATGGGAGTACAGATGAAAAGTGACTGGCCATAAACTGACACAGCGGTTGATGACAGGGACTGCGGTTTGCAATTGTTCTTATTACCAAGCTACTTTTCCATCTGTCTCAGATTGGTTCATAACAGAAAGCTGAAAAGCTGCAAACCTGAAACTAAGCACTGGCGGCAGACACTTGTCACATTTTACTCTGCTTTGAATAAAGCTAAGACCAGGGAAATGGCAACGACATCTTTGTGTCCCCTTATCCAGATGGCTTCCACAAACATCAAGCCGTATTTAGAAAACATGAGCACCATGGTGAAGGAAGTTCCACTACCACACGGTACGCAGGTAAAGGCAGTAAGCTAAGTTATTAAATTTCAGGGACTTAGAACAGACAGAGATTTACTTTATTTTTACTCATTTCTATACACTTTTCTCGTGACTCTGATCTTTTTTTCTGTTCTTGTTGAGTTCTATCCCAAATGCCCTTCCTACTGACCCTGTGATTCACAGTAACAATCTAACCCTCTATTCAAGGCCCAGCTCAATTTCAAAGGACAGGTTCCTTACAAACCTTGCTCCAAAACACTGCCCCCTCCATGGTGGTTACTGGTGAGCATGCTCCTGTGAGTCAGCACTCTCCTAGATGCTTGTTATGGCTTGAATCTGGAGTGCTTCCCAAAGGCTCATGTTTTGAACATTTGTTTCCCACTGGGTGGTGATGTTTTGAGAGACTGTAGATAGAATGTTCAGAAGTAGGTCTTCACTGGCAAAAGTAGGTCACTAGGGGTGGGCTTCTGAAGGTTATACCCAAGCCCCTAGTTCTTGCCACTCTCTAAATCCTGCTTATCCATGATGTGAACAGTGGCTGCCTCTCTGTTATGGTCTGAATCTGAAACGTCCCTCACAGGCAAATGTTTTGAATGCTTGTTCTCCAGTCTGGAGCCTTTAGGAGGTAGAGCTTGGCTGGTGCAAGCAGCTAACCCGGGGAGACAGTCTTTGAAGATTACAGCCCTGCCCTTATTCAGTCTAGCTCTCTTTGCTTCCTGGCTGTGATGTGAGGAACTGCTGTGGTGGCCTTCCTCGCCACAAGGAACTAAAACTACCTAAACCATGAACCTGAATCAACTTTTCCTCCCTTAAGTAGTTTCTGTCACGTATTTTAGTCACAGCAACACAAAAGTAACTAATACACTCATGCTCCTGCAGCACTACACAGAGGCTCCTGTCCTGCCTTCCCTGCTACAATGGATAGAACCTTCTGAAATCATGAGTCAGAATAAACCTTCCCTCCTTTAAGTTGTTATGTCAGGTATTTTGATCATAGTGACAGAAAAGAACCAATTCTCCTAGTAATCTTCCAAGGTCAGAATTGTAACTAAAGAATGCCCACCCCTCTGCCCCATGTCCTGCTTCATTCCATAGAATACTGGTTAAATAACTTATCTGGTGTCAAGTAAACTGAGAATGAATTTAGGCAACTCCAGAACCTTCTTGCCATGCATGCCAGGCTGCACATGTATTTAAAGCACAATGACACACATGGGTGGCTGAGTGGTTAACTCTGTGTGTTTTTCTTGTGATATTTAACATTATTTGTCTTTATGCCTTTCTAATTCTGTAGAGGAAATGTTTTAAGACTGAGCAGAAAACTACAGGCAGGAAGCAATCTGTTTTCAGGAAGTGGCAGGAGCTCAAGTTTCCTATTAACTGAATAGCTTCTCCATATCATGAGGCTGGGCTAAATTAGCTTACAAAGTTGCCAAGCCAGATACAGTCAGCCTTGAAAATCTCTTACAAATACTTGGCAAGAGTGTGTTACATTATCACTAAAACCAAATAACGGGGTTCACTTATGCTCCAACGCATGCATGTACACGTGGACAGAATGATGAAACAGGAGCTCCCCCTAGACCGTGAGAATCCAGAACAGTCAACTCTAAATGTGCTTGGGCACACTTACTTTTTCTTCAAAAAAATTTTCACTGTTGTTTCTTTTCTCTATTTTAAAATAAGTGAAAGAAAAAAAAGGTAGAAAGTAAGTATCCCAGCCACTCAGGAGGCTGAGGCAGGAGGACTGGAGGTTCAAATCAGGCTGGAAGACTTAGTGAGACCCCGACTCAAAAAAGTTAAAAAGAGCTAAGAATGTAGTTCAGTGATAGAGCCCTAGGTTCAGTCCCCAGTTCTGGAAGAGAAAGAAGGAGAGGAAGAATTAAGAGGGCTATCAACATGCAACATGTGGTTTATACGAGATTTTGGCTTGATTAAAGTGCTTAAAAACATTTTTTAAACGGAAGGGAAAGGCCAACAGTTAGGAGGTTTGATCATCACAGTAGTATCACATTTCTTTGTGTAACAGTGGTATTGTTGTAGGTTTTGAATTAAGAGAGGTCTTTAGGAAAATATTTACTCTGAAATGGGGGCAGGGGAGGGCAAGGTAGGTAGAGGCACACATGACCATATTTGATAACTGTGGAAGAAGGGTGACTGCTTCATAGATGTTTAAGTCTTTGACAATGAAAATGTTTTCTCTGGGAAGCCTGACCTCAATCTTCCAGATTCTCAAGTTCTAGCTGTGTCTTGCTGTTTTCCCCATCTAACACCCCTTACTGACTTCCCATCTACAATCCCTGGCACGGTCTATTATGGTGCCACCACACCTCAGCCTGCCCTTCTTTCTATCACTTCCAAGTAGCATTTGTAGACGGCAAACATTTGGTTCTGCCAATCAGATGAGTGCTCCTGAAACTCTCAACACTATTTCTTCATAACCCTTTGCTTCCTTACCCTGGTTTGCTTAACATCTTCCTCAAACTGAATGCTGGCTCCTTAGAGATGTGCATTTGCTAGCACATTCCTGTGATTCAGCCATGGTTAAATAACACAAGGTTTAGTCAGCCATGGTTAAATAACAGTTTTCTTAGGATTTCTTTCCCTTTGAAAATGAGCATCATGAGCAGTAGCACAGCACAAGGAAATCATACTCAAAATACTTCTTTATCCTTCTAAGAAATCCCAATTCTCAATGATTCTCAACATATTTACATGGCTACAATGAATTCTTCAGTCTCGACTCTCAAATAAGTCTTTCCCCCTCCGTACTGAAGATCTTCCAATAGGAACTACAGAAAATATCCAGGAAAACCCAATAAAATCTTAGAAATCCAGACCACACATGCTCAGAGGAGAACCCCACTTACTGCTTCTTCATGCTCCTTCCAGCAATCATAATCAGTTGCCATGGCAATGCTTGCATAGCAAATGCCAACCTCCTTAGCAAGCACCACTTCTGGAACTGTGGTCATATTAATAACATCTGCTCCCCAGGTACGGAATATGAAGCTTTCTGCCCGGGAGCTGAAACGAGGCCCCTCAATTGTGATTATCGTTCCCTTTGAATGGCACCGAAGTCCTAGCTTCTTAGCTGTCTCTATAAGGACCTGGAAAAGAAGAACCACAAACTCAAAACTCTCACACCTATGTGTGGTCCATGATTTTATTTTTCTCTGATGTTTAGCAAGTTAATTACTTACAGTAGACTTTTTACTAAAGTGTCCTTAGAGGAACCCTGAACCATTGAAAGAGTCTATCTAGCCCTGTTCTCCCAACCTATTGCACATATAGCTCATAGCTATTAGAGCAAATGAGATTTCTCCATGCACCTGGCATTTGTTTCCATGCTTTAATCTCATTTACTTTAGAAGCTAAGCTAGGCTTTGAATTAGGACTTGAGTCTTAGCTCTTAACCCTCATACTTGCTCAGCTAAGGTACCTCTTTGCAACCTACACATCAAACTGCTGTCCTGAGTTCCATTTTCCAAACTATTGAACAGTTAATATTTATTGCTCAGATTCATACATAATCTACAGTCTTTTGTGATGTTTTTTCTGTCAGCAAATAATTTTTCTTTTGCTCACTGCCCCTCCAAGGACATATGCTGAGATGAGAATGACCATCCTGATTTCTACCCAGAAATAAAACTTATCTGGGCATTCCTTCCTCAGTCCAGAAAAAAAACCTTAGCGGGACATTTTTTTTTTACTGGCAAGGCCATGCACAGGCTTTTAGAAACATTAAACAGTTTAATCATTGTGTCCAATACTTTAACTAGTAATATATTCTATTATATGTTCAGGCTGTTTATTTTTTTTCAGTCTATGCTTCAACACTCTCTTTTAATTAAAAAGGGGGAAAGAGTCTGTGACTGGAGAGATGGTTCAGTGGGTAAAGTACTTGTTGTACAACCATGATGGGAGTTCCAATCCCTAGCACCTAGGTAAAAAGCTGGGGGCAGCAGTGCACGCCCGTAACCCCAGTGCTGAGAGGAGACAGAAGGATCCCTGGGGCTTGCTGAGATCAAGCTTATTCTACTCTGCAAGTTCCTGGCCAAGTGAGAAAACCGAAAACTGGATAGACAAATCTGAAGAACGACAGTAAAGTTGTCCTTTGGTTTCCATACGCATGTACACACATGTACATGTGGTAACCGCCCCCCCTCGCCGCCACAAGAATAGAGTTGTATGTCTTGGCTAAACTTTAGAGGATTTCTACAAATGTGTAAAGGAAGCTCACAACCGCTGTGGGCCTCTGTGCTATTTAAGTCCTCACTATCACCCTGGGAAGTATGAACCACACACAACTGTGAGGAGAAACAGAGGTTTATAGAGGTTTATGGATGTGGGTCAGCCACAATGACAGACCCTGGGAGCTGTACCACATGAGCCAGCACTCTGCACTCCCACAAACAGATACCATCTTAAGGTAAAAGAAAAACCCCAACAACAGGGTCAAACTTCAGTTCCGAGGCTAAGATGACCTCACTTCCTTTCCTTGAGTAAGCCCAATGGCACTACTGAAATGATCACAGTCTTCATAAAGAGATGAGATAAGCAGCTGCATCAGACAGGCTAAATATAAGACGTGTGTCTGGACTCTGCTGATCTGGCATGAATAAAAGTGGTACCATGGTCCTGGTAATTGAAGGTGATAATCAGCATGTGGCAGATTCATTGACATTTTCACGTTTTTGGACAGTAGTAGTTTAAAATATCTACTACAGTAGTAGTTTAAAATATCTTTTGTAGTAATCAGGAGACAGTAATTCTTTTTTGCCTTTTTTTTCCCAGTCTTTCCAAGCATTCTGTCTCTTCATGTTTTGGCTTGGCCAAATTCATTTGGTTTCAAGGAAAGCTAAGTTATGTTACTGGAAGTTACCTCAAGGCCTCAGTGGTGGCCATTACCATTACAGCACCACGTCTAATATTTTATACCACTGTCTTCTGGGTTTCAAGTCTTGGGTTTCACAGTAACAGACATTCTCTCTATTGCTTATTTCTTTCCAAGCTGCCTCATACTGAAATGGACAATTATTCAGTTTACTCTTCTAGGTTGATTTCGACAATACTTTGTACTACGCAGCTCTGACAGTATTTCTGATCTTTTGAGTTGCACTTAATTTATAAGCCTGAGGATCTCAGACTTGGGGGCATCTTTTTATCTCTGGGAACTAAGGCGGAGGTTCACCTTTTCCCACCTTGGCCCCCATGTGGCTGACAGCGCTGCTGGGACACTGCTGCAATGCTGGGAAAAGGCTGTACAACAGTGGAAAAATTCAAAGGCAGTAGTGCCAGTCTGACTATCTTTGATGATCAATGATAATTTAATTTATAAAGGCAGTCACCAGTCATTGGGTGTTCTATACCTGACAGGCACGTTCAAGGTACTTTGTAAGTAATGCCTCTTTCAGGACTTTCACAGTCCTAGGAGGGACACGCCATCACTATCTTCATTTTACAATAGAGACCACTGAAGCTCAGAGACATTAAAGTCGCCCCAATAACACAGCAATTAAGTTAAAAACAGACTTTATCCACAGCAATCTGGCTCCAGACACTGTATCTTGACTAATACACTATATTCTTATACTAGGTTAAAAGGCAAATACGAGGAGCAAAATAGAAAATTATCAAAAGGTAGGCTGTAGTTCCAAGTGCTTCTGCTTAGAGCAACTAAGAGTAGACGTACTATTAGCAACAGGAAACAATTCTTCACATAATGATTATATCAAAAATAAATCTGAGGGAGGGGCTGGAGAGATGGCTCATCAGTTAAGAGTACTTGGCTGCTCTTGCAGAGGACCAGGGTTTGGTTCCCAGCAGCGACATGACACGAGGCAACTGTCTGTAATTCCAGTTCCAGGGGACCTGACACTCTCTTCTGGCCTCCACAGGCATTATAAACATGCAGGTAAGACATGTACAAAATAAAAAAACAATAACATGACTCAGTAGGCCTTAACATATTTGACAGAGTGCATGAAATTCTATGGGGAGACTATGGAGGGGGTGTAGGTGCGGAGGTAGCCTAAATATGATTAAGATATATTGTAGGAAATGCACACAAATTCAATTAAAAGTACATTGAAAAGATAAATAAAATAGAAAAAATCTGAGGGAGGAGGAGGAACCATGTTCTCAACTGAAGTATGTACAAATCCTGCACTAGGTCCTCATACCCTACTGTTACGTCTTCCAGAAAGACCACAAACCTCTCTTGTTTTGGGACAAAACGGCTCAGCCATTGGGATATGGCACACTCCTCTGGCACTGGAATGACTTCCATCATAGAAGGTCTGAGGCCTTAGGGATGTCCTACAAAAAATAAAATGAAAGAGTGTGTTTTTGTTGTTGTTAAAGCAGCATTGCCATCCTGAGGGCTATGAATCCTCTGTGGCTAGGTTACACCATGACCAACAGCTGTGGATAAAAGGAAGGTAATTGTTCTAAAGCATCTTCAGGATGGTACCTGGCTCTTCCTGCTCCAGGCCAGTGGCAACAGGCTTTTAAGCAGGAACTAAAGTGTAACCATTTGAGACTGTAAGTACAACTCATCATGAGTTTCACGAGGACAGGTCAACTCCCAGGGAGTCATTCTGAGAACATTTCATGGTCACAGACATAGACTACAGAGTGAATGCAGTATGACATTGCCCAGATTTACTAATTCCTCAAATTTTATCTGACTTGTTTGTGAGCTTTCTCATGTTCGTAAATTGCAGGCTTTGACAAAGACCATACCCAAATCTCCCTAAAATCTTTAAAAAATATAATTTATTTATTTTTATTTTATGTGTATGAGTGTTTTGCCTGCATATAGCTAAGTATACCACATGCATGTAATGCCTAAAGAGGCCAGAAAAGGGGATTCCCCTGAAACTGGAATTACTGATAGTTGTTAGTCACCATGTGGATACTGAGAACCAAACCCAGGTCCTCTGCAAAACCAGCCAGTGCTCCTAACTGTTCAGCCATTAGTGCATGGTGGCACACGCCTTTAATCCCAGCACTCTGGAGGCAGAGGCAGGTGGATCTCTGTGAGTTCGAGGCCAGTCTGGTCTACACAGTGAGTTCCAGGGCAGCTGGGGCTACAGGTAGGAGACCCTGTCTCAAAAAGACCAAAAAACCAAAATAAAATGAACAAAAAAACCCTTAAAACAACAACGTCAAACCTTAAAACCAATATCTCTTTTTAAACAGTTGCTTTGCTTCATGGGCCATAAAGGTTCTTACCTTACATTTGACTGCCATGTCTCTAAATTGAAAATAATTCCTGCCCTCAACTCTAGTTGTATTTTTCCAGGCCACTGCTCCATTGATGAGAACAGCTAATTGCTCTGCTCCACAGGGAACCTGTCTCCTTGATGCCCTGCTTAGCTTTCTGTTCTGTATCCCTAACTACTGGTTCTGAAGGGTTTTTGTTTTACTTTGTTTTTTAGACACAGGGTCTCCTTGTAGCCCCAGCTGGCCTGGATCTCAGACATCCATCTGCCTCTGCCTCCTGAGTGCTGGGATTAAAGGTACGCACACTACCACACCCGGCTAGTTTTTAAGCTCACATTTTTGGCAAAACATTTCTGAATCCACAAAAGACAGGCTAAAATCAATCCACTGCCAACTCACACAATTTCTTTCCAGGAGTTTTCAGAACAAACTGCAAACTACTTTCTTTTTCTAAACTTGAACCACTGAGTAATTCAAGAAAGACAGTCCCCCATCTTTCCAAAGCAGCAGATGAAGGAGGCAGGGGACATGGAAAGCTGACAGAGCACAAAAGGAGAATCAGATGTCCTTCCTCTTCCAGTGGTGGCAGCAGGGACAGAATGGAGAAAAAAACCCTTTTGCTGGTTCCATTTACACAGGCAGTATGTCTACTGACCAACCCTCAGTGACAGGAGCTGGCACTGGAGTCACCTCTGTGGAGGTGGGGCCTCAGTGCTGTGGAAGAACAAGAAGCTTCTCTCTGCAATTCCTGACCGTTTCTTGTCAGGAATGAAAAGAAGGGAAAGTCCAAGTTAACCCCACAGCAAATCCAGCTAGGGGTGAAGAATAGGTCAAATAACAGGTCCAGCCCATGTCAACAGGCTTTTCTCTCAAAGACTGACAAACAAAATGGTACCATGTTATCACCTCTGTCACTTGGTTTCAGTCCTTCTGTGAGTCAGACAGTAGCAATGTCCCCACTTGCAACTGGATTATGAAAGCCTTGTAACAGGTGCCCCTACAGAACACCCCCTGATAAATCTGCCTACTGCTTCTGTCTCCCCACACCTCTGCTTTGTGGCAAACACACAAACACATACTGGACTTTGTTTTACTTTCCGTACATTTGACATTTGTTGACCAGTCTGATTAGTTCCTTCTTTTCTTTTTTTTTTTGGTCTTTTTGAGACAGGCTGTCCCCGTAGCTCCACCTAGCCTGGAACTCATAATGTACACCAGGCTGGTCTCAAACTCAGTTCCTTCTTTTACGTAGAACATTTTATATCTTCTCTCTTAAAACACAGGCAGCTAATTACTAGCTACATAGCAAATATATAACACATTTTGTATCTTTTTGATTCTCCATTTTGAAATCATAAAAGTTTATCCCTCATTTACAAAACTGTAAGGAAAAATGAGGCAACTATGATGGCCTGATAACAAACAGCAGAGACAGCTGAGAATCAGCACCAGGCTGAGGGCTCAGAGCACCCTACTCTGCAAGGGGCCCCAGGGGAGAGATGAAGAGAAACAGTATAATATGCATTGCTACCCGATTAAGATGCTGGAAGGGTGGGTACAAAGTGCCTCTTCACAGCCTGCCCAACTACTTGTGTTTCTGCACCATTAACTTAAGTGTCAACCTGTTCAGGTTGAAACGGTTAATCATTGGTTAATGATCGAAACCTAAATTGTTATAAATAGCAACACCTACACAGCATAAACTGATGAGGCATTGTTTATGCTGAATGAAATTCTAAGAGCAAGAGGATTTACAGGCACAGCTGAGAAAAGGGGATTTCCCCCCTCCCAATCCTATAAAGAAATGTGCATAAACTGAAGAATACCTGGCCTCCTCTGCGGATCTTTGTCAAGAGAAACTGAATCTAGAACTCAGCCAAAAGCCTGGGTTAATCTGCCAGGCACAGCCTATGAGGGGAGGCTATTACCTAGGCCTGAAAGTTCACTTCCTGTTTCCCAGCAAAGCAGCTTGTCTAGATTCACAAATGCAGTTCTCAACTGTGTAGCTCAATTGCTGTTTGAGTGATATGGGCAGGGCTTCTTAGTTTGAAAAAGCACATTAAAAAAAAAAAAAAAATCAACTATGTGTCTATAAGCTACTTAACATCCCCTAATTTTTTCCCTAATGAACTTCAAGGAAAGCCCTCACGACTCCACTCTTTAGATGGTCCTCAGATTTAAATGTTGAAATCCTAACCCTTAAAGTAACAATTATCAGGAAGCTATCAGTGGGTGTCACAAGAAGCCAAAAATGTCCTCATGATTGGTACTAGTGTCCACACAACAGAGGATCTAGAGAGCAAAAGGTGCCAAGAAAGTCAGCCCCCACCAGACATCAGATCTGCTGGCAACATCTTTTGTACTTCTCAGTTTTCTTACTGAGAAATTCTGTTGTTCAGTGGCTATTCAGTCTGTAAGAGGCAGATGGGTTGATGCTAGAGTGATAAGAATGTCCTCTATCATTGCTGGCGGCTCAGAACCTAGATGAGGGCCATGAGCCAAGGAACGCAGGGACAAAGCACCAGGAAATGAACTTGACCTTAAGTCTCCAGTGAGGAATGGGGCCCTGCCAACAACTTAAAAGAAAACTAATTTATTTTTTTGTGTGTGTGTCTGAGTGTTTTGCCTGCATGTATGTAAGTGTACCTGCCTATGCAATGCTTATGGAGGCCAGAAGAGGGCATTAGATCTCCTAGAACTGGGATTACAGAAAGTTGTTAGCCAATATGTGGGTGCTGGGAACCAAACATGGGTCCACTGCAAGAGTAACCAATGCTCTTAACAACTGAGTCATCTCTCCAACCCCAAGTTTTTTCCTTTTCAAGCCCAGTGAGACACATGTTAAACTACTAACCAAAGGATAAAAAATTTGTGTTAAGCCCCTAAATTTGTGCTAATTTATCACAGCAGCAATAGGAAGCTGATACACACATTTGTATAGCTGGAGGGATAAGATTAACCCAGTTATGGTTTCTACAGCAGTAAAGTCTGACACCTACTCTAGCCTTCTAGCAAGGCAAAGAGACTAATTTTACCTCCCTATTTGCTTCTGGGATCCACCGTAAAACGGGGATTTCAGGGACTGACTGGCACTCACTGGCTGTATGCCTCTGGGAAAGTCACTCTGATCTCTTTGCATTTCTGCTCTATCAGCTTCCTACATTAATAGGGGAATAAACCACTTAGCTCATATGGTCCATGTGAGGACAGAATGAAATAACATAGTACAAGTGGTGGTACTGCTAAGTGCTGCTCATGGAAACTCTGATTTTGATCTTCTGTCAACATGGGAGCCTGAACTTTGATGGGCCCCAAAACAAGGAAACCTCCAAAACTACGTGAGGCTGCCAAGTAGGGCTACGTGCTGGTCTAGTTTCATTTCTGTTACGGTGACAAAATACCCTGACAAAAAAGTAACTTAGGAGAGAAAGGGTTTATTTTAGCTCACAATTCCAGGTGATTGCCCATCACCATGGAGAAGCCGTAGTGGCAGGTCACATCCACAGTCAAGAGCAGAGAATGAATGGTGGCATGCTCACCTGCTTGCTTGCTTTCAGCTAGCTTTTTCTTCTTCACTAATGTTCACAGCCCCTGCCTAGGGAATGGTGGTGTCCCAACTGGGCTAGGTTTTCCTACCTCATTAATAATCAAGACAATCTGCCATAAACATACTCACAGGCCAACCGGTTCTATCTAGCTAATTCCTCAATAAGGCTCTCTTCTAGGTTGTGTCAAGCTGACAGCTAAAACTAAACAACACAGGTGCTAAAAAAAGTTAATGCACAAACAAATAAAATACCTCTCTGAAAGAGTGAAGGGGACAAATATGCTTGCCTTGGCAAGAGTTATCAGTTCAAGGTAGTCAGGGAGAGAACACTGGGCACTTTCAGATACAGAACAGGAGAAAAGCTGACTAGTAGGCTGCTTCTTAAAGAGAGACCCCTGAATTAACCTGAATGCAGCTACTCCTTAGTTAACACTTCTCCCTTGAAGAAATGTGGAACTGCAAACATGTCGAAGAAAACCATCTGTTCTCCAGCAAACATAAAACCACCTCCGGGTGGTTTCTGAACATGGCCTCAGTCTACAGC